GGCATGTGCCACTGCGCCTGGCCTGGGAAAAACATTTTTAAGGGAACAACTCTGTTGATGCCAAAGCAGCTTTTAAAGATGCCAACCTCCTATCAGGCTTATATTAATTACAACAGCTGAATAAGAATCTGTACTGACCTGAAAATTAGCACAAGCATATGTTCACTGTCACAAGTTTGAACCAGAAAACAACTTATTCCTAGACTTTGATTGAGCTGGATAATATATACACAACAGGTATAAACCAGGGATAGTAATGATTCTAATCATAAAGGGGAAAAGGAAGAAGGAAGACATAATACTTTCTACTGGGGTCAACAGATAATTCTAACACAGAAAGTATAGAAAATTAATGTCTCTTTAGATCTTAATTTAGATGTCAATGTTTACTTAAAAAAATTCCAAGCTATAAAAGGATGGGATCAAACAAGTGCTGTGCAAAGGGCATTAGGGTACTAGGGGCATTAGAGCTGGGGTTCTCACTCTCTAGTGAGAAACGAAAAGGAGGAGAGGGAAAAGCAGAGAGAGGTGGAATATGCCTGGAGACTCTGGTCTTAACCAGAGTTACTCTTGACATTTTGGGCACTATGGCATCCGTGGGTTCCAGCACCCTCCTCTCAAGTCTGTGACAAACAATGTTCTATTTCCAAAACCAGTAGGGGACTCGGGGGTGAGGGAGGGAAGTTGTGTGGGGAGGAAAAGGAGCTGATAATTTCCTGGACATCTGAAATGCTACTGACTGAATACCTGTAAGCCTTCAAATCTTGATTTTATTTATCAGAATTTGACAACAGATGTCATGCTCACTGGCCTGACTTCCTTATAATCAACGTATTGAAACACTTTTTTTTTTTTTTTGAGATGAAGTCTCACTCTGTTGCCCAGCTGGAGCGCAATAACACCATCTCAGCTCACTACAACCTCTGTCTCCCAGGTTCAAGGGATTTTCCTGCCTCAGCCTCTCAAGTAGCTGGGATTACGGGTGCATACCACCATGCCCAGCTAATTTTTGTATTTTTTAGTAGAGTTGGGGTTTTGACATGTTGGTCAGGCTGGTCTTGAACTCCTGACCTTAAGTGATCCCCCAACCTCGGCCTCCCAAAGTGCTGGGACACAGGCAGGCGTGAGCCACTGCGCCTGGCCAAAACACTTTTTTATTTTTTGAGATAGAGTCTTGCTCTGTCCCCCAAACTGGAGTGCAGTGGTGCAATCTTGGCTCACTGCAACCTCTGCCTCCCAGGTTCTCAAACAATTCTCCTGCCTCAGCCTCCCAAGTAGCTAGAATTACAGGCATGGGCCACCATGTCCCACTAATTTTTGTATTTTTAGTAGAGACGGGGATTCACCATGTTGGCCAGGCTGGTCTCGAACTCTTGACCTCAGATGATCTGCCACCTCAGCCTCAAAAAGTGCTGGGATTACAGGGGTGAGCCACTACCCCTGGCATGAAACACTTTTTTAAAAAATCAAAAATATAACAATAAAGTGACTCACTCCAGAAAAGAAGAAACCCTGTACTGAGCTTTCTGTATTCCGTTTGAGTACAGACTTCCTACTAGCATTCAAGTGGATAAATTAACACAGGGGACCCCCTAAACTTTTAAAAGTGAAATTAGAACCAATGGCCACAGTTCAACCATCTATTTAATGATCAGAAATGATTAAAATTGTTCATACAATAAGGCTTCCTAAAGGTTATGTAAGACAAAGTCATTTCTTTATTATTTTTTTTAGAGATGAGGTCTTGCTCTGTTGCACAAGCTGGTGTAGAGTGGCTTTTCACAGGTGTGATCACAGCTCACTGCAGCCTCAAATTCCTGGGCTCAAGTAATCCTCCTGCCTCAGCCTGTTGAGTGGTTGGGATTATAGGCATAAGACACCACACCTAGCAAGACAAAGTCATTTCCAACTGGAGGGGAGAAAAAAGACAGTGTTTGAGGGGGATAGATATGAATGACTGGGCAGAGTAGAAGAGGGGAAAATCAGATTTAAAAGTTGGTGATGAAAAAATACCCCTGTATACTGTTGCCATCTGTTTACATCTCGGCTCCCTTACTACATAATGAACTCCTTCAGGGAGCTCGTGGCCCTATATTCACTTCTAGTTCTCCAGTAACAGGCGGACAGTATGGGCTCAATAAATATCTGTTGAATGAATCAGTGAGAAATAAAAGCATAAATCACATCACCTCAAATACATGGTTATATTAAAAAGTGGAGATACATTTAAAAAATTTAAAATCCCAAATCAGAATTGCAAAGGACATTAAAAGATGGTCTACCCCATGGTTAAATTTATTAGAAATGTCAGAGGGGAAAAAATCATTCAAAATTAAAATTAGGAGACAAATTTCTCATATAAGACTAAGAAGCAATACCTGTGGAAGACCTCTGTTTTCAAGCCATTATCTAGAAAATCAATATGGAATTGTCTCCAGTTTGCTACTGACTTTGGCGGCCACTTGGGAAATAAACATTTTCCATCTTTCCATGAATATAGTCCAACAAAATTACTTTTACTTTCTTATAATTTGATTAAAATTTTACTTGCAAAACATTTTAAAGTTAAAATTGAGACAACTGCTAAGGCTTTATAGAATATTACAGAATTTGTAGAGCACTAATGTAGAGGATGAGGAAAAAAAAGCCCTAATTAAAATTTCTAATAATTTACTGCTTTGTCTTGCACACTGAGAGGAAAATTTTAGTAAGACAAAACTGTTCATAATTCATTAGTAACAAATATTCTTTAGTATCTTTTTATAAACAAAACAAACATGGGCATATTATCAGGAATTTCATTTATTCTTTTCTACTATTAGGAACTTTGTTTCCTCTTGGGTTGTTTTATGTTGTAATTTTATTAACATTTCTTATATAATATTCTAATACAGGATAATATTAATGCTTCCTTCCTTGAATTTTAATTTCAAACAATGCCTAAGACATTCTAATTTTTAAAATGTACTGCAATGTAACAAGAGCTTTGTCTGATTTAGATTAAGATCTGACTGAGCAAAGACTCTTTTTGTATCTAGCTCATTGTAGTGAACCTAATTACATGTAGTTTGTGTCTTCTGTTGGCTTTTTAACTGAAAATGGTGTTAAAAATAATTGCCCTTTCCATAAATCACATAAATATGGTACAGCTGAATCACATAATGTGATAACCTCTGCTTTTCATTTGAGAATATCTCCAAATTCCAATTCTGTTGCTCAAAATTTTAATTATTCTTTTCAGCTGCTTGACACCTTCAACTGACTAAGCCTGTCAATATTTTTAGCCAAATAATTAATAAAGAGGTTGAACTGGACAGGGAGTATCCTGAAGCAAGCCATTAGAGACCTTGTTCCATGCTAACATTAATCTAAATTAGTAATCTTCACTCATTTATTCACTGATTCAGTTACAAATAATCAGTTATTATTTTCCCCCAAAGATATCACAAAAGACTCTGATAAATGTATTTGCTGAAATCCAGCATACCCTATGTCTTCAGAGCATCTATAATCTACTAGTACAGTAATCGTATCAAAAAAGAAAATGGGTTTAATCCTGGATAATTTACATTTAGAAAATCTGTTTAATACCCTAGTAATTAGGGCTTCCTTTATAAAGTACTTATTTATGTACTCCTAACCACTAGTCTTTACTGGTAATAACTAAGTGCTAAGGAGACTGAAAATTTGTCTATTTTTCAAATAATTAACAGTACTCAGAAAATACCTTTGCACATCTAATTTTAAGAATTATTAAATAACTGAAATTAAACATTATAGTTTTAACTTAAGACTCATGGTGTTTTACGAAACTTTATATTGCCCGGGTGTAGTGGCTCATACCTATAATCCTAGCACTTTGGAAGGCTGAGATGGGCAGACTGCTTGAGCCTAGGAGTTTGAGACCAGCCTGGATAACATGGTAAGATCCCATCTCTACAAAACACACACACACACACACACACACACACACGCACACAAACTAGCTGGGCATGGTGGGCTTGTATGCCTGTAGTCTGAGCTACTTGGGAGGCTGAGGTGGGAGGATCACGTGAGCCCAGGAGGCCCAGGTGCCCAGGTTGTGGTGAGCTGAGATTGTGCCATAGGCCGGAGTAGAGTGGTACTCTTTGTATCTGCTTGGTATCCAACATAGTATAGTTAGTGCCTTGCACAGAGTACTCTACTCCAGCCTGTAGCACAATCTCAGTTCCAGCCTGGCGGACAGAGGGAGCTTTGTCTCAAATAAAAATAAAAATAAAAATAAATAAATAAGAGAATCTTTAGATCATCAAGGCTAATACCATTTACTTTTCTTTGGTTATTCCACTATCCTGAGGTCCAAGTTTTTGTTGCTACACAAAAATTTACTTTATACCATAAATCTATACTATTCAGGTAAAATAAAAATAACTAGAGATGAAGAACATTCTGTTTAGAAACCACCTGAAATGTCAATGAACAGGTACTGACTTCCACTTGTATTTTTGGGCTTCAGGCTTTTTATCCTCAGAAGACTGATACTCTCAAGAGGGAATAGAAAGTAGCATAACCACAGTAATGCATACTGATAATGTCAGAGAGTCAGAGTTGAGGACAATGTCTATCTAGGGAAAGGCTTTCATAGTGACCAAAATTCCCCGTGGATATTAAAAAAACTGTCAGTACTAAAAAGATCTGCTTCCAGGTTAAAGGTGTCTGCTTTTGAACTACCTTGTGAGGTTTATAAGGCAGCAGTTATTCCATTTTATTTTTCCAAATGTTTAAGTTTTTTTGAGATGGGGGAATGGGGATGGTCTCATTATGGTGGCTAGGTTAGTCTTGAACTCCTGGGCTCAAGTGATTCTGCCTCAGACTCCCAAGTACCTGGGACTACAGGTGCAAGCAAGGGTGCCCAGCTATCATTCCATTTTAAATATGAGGGATGTGAGGCTCATGAGAAGTTGAAATTATTTAAAGGCTGAGGACTAGTGAGAAATTAAGCTAAATCTGGAGCTCAGATGTTTTAAATCCAAGTTCACAATTTTTATGACTATACTATATCTTCTCCCATGGCCAATCCTAGTGGTCAGTCAACAATAAAAACAAACTCTTAGCCTGTTCATGCTAAATGCAAAAACACAACTCTACTTAAAAGTAACAGGTTTTAAAGAGGCACTAATTATATACAGGTCAGCAATAACAGAAAGAAGTTATTGAATCTAATGAGAAACTCTCTCTGTAAAAGACACTAAGTCCAGGATATTTGCAGCCCAAGTCCTTCTCCCACCAAAATTTCAAGAATCTATATTTTCAGTCATGTTCCACTTTATTTTATTTTTATTTTTTTTGAGATGGAGTCTCACTCTGTCACCCAGGCTGGAGTGCAATTGGCGTGGTCTCAGCTCACTGCAACCTCCACCTCCCAGGTTCAAGCGATTCTCCAGCCTCAGCCTCCTGAGTAGCTGGGACTACAGGTGCATGCCACCATGCCTGGTTAATTTTTGAATTTTTAGTAGAGATGGGGTTTCACTATGTTGGCAAGACTGGTCTCGAATTCCTGACCTCGTGATCACCAGCCTTGGCCTTCCAAAGTGCTGGGGTGTGAGCTACTGTGCCCAGCCTATTTTATTTTTTTTTTGAGATGGAGTCTCACTCTGTTGCCCAGGCTGGAGTGCAGTGGTGCAATCTCGGCTTACTGCAAACTCCACCTCCTGGTTCAAGTGGTTCTCCTGCTTCAGCCTCCAGAGTAGCTGGGATTACAGGTGCCTGCCACCATGCCCAGCTAATTTTTGTATTTTTAGTAGAGACAGGGTTTTATCATGTTGGCCAGGCTGGTCTTGAACTCCTGACCTCAGGTGATCTGCCCACCTTGGCCTCCCAAAGTGCTAGGATTACAGGTGTGAGTCAGTGCACCCCTCCATGTTCCATTTTATATCTATGCTTAGTTCCATAAATGCAGACTGATGCACTCCATAATCACTTGCTGCTTAATAAGTGGTCTATGCCCAAAGTTTATTTAATTCTCATGTTTGTAAGGAACTAATCAATTTTGACAGATACAATCTATGTGAATGTCATCATTTAAAAGTGTACATATATATCTGATAACACTCATTTCACTATGAATCTTTCCTAATTTCAAATTACAACTTACTAATTGGTACAACTAGAGATTAATATCCTGTAATAAGATATGCTACTCCTACTTAAGGCAATTTTTGTTTCTGTAAAATAATATGCAAATTAATAATTTACATATGAAATAATACTTATTACATTGAACTTAAAAATAGTCATTCAAAGAAATCCTTGGCTGGGCACAGTGGCTCATGCCTGTAATCCCAGCACTTTGGAAGGCCAAGGTGGGTGGATCACTTGAGGTCAGGAGTTTGAGACCAGCCTGGCCAACATGGTGAAACCCCGACTCTATTAGAAAAAAAAAAAAATTAGCCAGGCATGGTGGTGGGTGCCTGTAATCCCAGCTACTTGGGAGGGTGAGGCAGGAGAATTGCTTGAACCCAGGAGGCAGAGGTTGCAGTAAGCCAAGATTGCTTGAATCCAAGAGGTGGAGGTTGCAGTGAGCCAAGATTGCTTGAATCCAGGAGGTGGAAGTTGCAGTGAGGTGAGATCACACTCCAGCCTGGGTGAGAGAGCAAGACAAGGAGGAAAGGAGGGCGGGTGAATGGATGGAAGGATGGAAGGAAAGAAAGAGAGAGAGGGACAGAGAGAGAGAGAGAAAGAAAGAGAAAGTGAGAAAGAGAAAGAAAGCGAGAGAGAGAGAGGGAAAGAGGGAAAGAGGGGAGGGAAGGGAAGAGAAGGGAAGGGATTATAGGTTGAATGCATTTGAAAACAAATAATCACTCTACTCAAAGTTATAAGGCTTTTGTTTAAATCTAGATTTTCTTATACACTGGTTGTTCTAGTTTATGTAAAATCCCTCATTTACTGTCTATAGAGTTTGCAATTTAGGAATTATAATTAGATAAGAAATTGCTTTTTAAATCAAATATAACTGACTAAAAAGGAGGAATTCGTGAGAAGTTTAAGTCGCAGGTCTATTTCTGAAAGCCATAGGAAAACATTATTATTTTATTATTATTTTCGAGACAGGGTCTTGCTTTGTTGCCCAGGCTGAAGTGCAGTGGCACAATCACCACTCATTGCAGCCTCGACCTTATGGGCTCAAGCAATCCTTCCACCTTAGCCTCCTGAGGAGCTGGAACTACAGGAACATACTACCACACCCAGCTAATTAAAAAATTTTTTTGTAGAGACAGGGTCTCACACTATGTGGCCCAGGCTGGTCTTGAACCCCTGTGCTCAAGTGATCCTCCCACTTGACCTCCCAAAATGCTGGAGTTACAGGCGTGAGCCACCATGCCTGGCCATTTTATTTTAAAAACCGATCATCTGAGTACTGTGAAATCTAAAGTAATTTTGAGAAGTTATCTCAAGCAAAACATTCTTGTTTTATAGATGAGAAATAAAAACTCTGGTATGTTTTAAAATTACATAGATTTTTTCCCATTTTAAAATTACAAAACTATTTGTATATATCTTGGTGAACTTCTGTGGGTATACCGATAGTGTAAATCCCTAGCAGTATACCAGAGTCTGTACATTTTGCACTTTGATAGAGATTACAAACTGCTTTCCTGGAAGATTGCAGTAATTTAACACTACTACCAACAGTATAGGTGAACGTATCTAATTGAAGTAGGACTGGAACTAGAGCCTGTTGAGGCGCAATTCTCTCCAATATTAATCTCACACCTGTAATTTCAGCACTTTGGGAGGCTGAGACAGGAGGATTGCTTAAGCCCAGGAGTTCCAGAGCAGCCTGGGCAACATAGTGAGAGAACCTGACTCTACAAAAAAAATAAAAAAAATTAGCTAGGTGTAGTGATGCACACCTGTAGTCCCAGACACTCAGGAGGCCAAGGCAGGAGGATGGCTTGAGCCCAGAAGAGGGAGGCCGCAATAAGCAGTGATCATGCCACTGCGGCACTCCACCCTGGGTGACAGAGAGCATTTAAGACCTTGTCTCAAAAAAAAGAGACAACTGAGGCCCTAGTGGTAATGCAATCTAGAGCCCTTGTCTCCAAGGTGAAAATGTTCACTCTGATCAGTCTGAACCACAACCACCTGGGTCAGTGAGAACCGAAGATTTTTGCCATACTCTAATCCAGTTTTCATGCCTGAACCAGTAACTGAGTACTTTAGACTTGCTCATTGCTTGAGGTATCAATAGCTGTAACTAGGATAGTCTGCAGGTGACTTTATTCTCTTTTTTCCCCCATCCAACTCCAAAACTCATAGTGATATGGCATATAATTAATTCAGTAGATAATGGTATTGAGTCAAATGATGCCAGCAATTTGCCGCCACTTGCACTAGAGAAAACATAAGATTAACAGGCAAAAACTGGAACTGTTTCATTAAATAACCCATGATATTTGGTAAACTATGTATGATAAAACATATGCATGATAAATGTAAATGCAATGATATAAAATGGAAAGACAACATTCATTTAGGAAATATGTAATAAAAGTTCTGTCTTCCTCTGCTGCTCTCTCAAATTTTGTGACCTGATTCTATTCTCCAAAGACGAAAATGGAGGCCCAATAGCACAAGCCTGTAATCCCAGATACTTGTGAGGCTGGAGCAGAAGAAGAGCTTAAGCCCAGGAATTCAGGCTGTAGTGCACTATGATTGTGCCTGTAAATAGCTACTGACAACACAGTGGGACCGCCATCTCAAAAAAAAAGGGTGGGGGGTAGAAAATGGAGTTTCTAGAAATTAAAAGAATTACCTGAAGACGCAGTTACTGTAAGCTTCTTCCAAACCACCTACTTCCCAATTTAATTCTCCCATATTAATCCTTAACAGTCGTTACTTCTTAAAGATGTGTTTTTAATTATCAGCTTCCTACTATTGCCCATTATGTTCCTAATCGTTCCTGTGTGAGAATCATCTCAGAGTATTCGATCTTTCATTCTGAACAACTAACCTCTAGTGACAACTATTAACAGAATAAATGAAACGCCTCTGTTTCTAGGGGGAAAAAAAAAACTTCTTGTAACCCCAACTGATAATTGTAAAATAGGACAATATAGGATATAGTTCTTCAATAAGGAAGAAAGCAGCATCACCTTTGGGAGCAGAGAGGGCGAGAGAACGTCAAAGATATTTGTCATTAAATTTCAACTGGGCATCAAAACAAATTCTTCCCATTTTAAAATTACAAACCTATTTGTATATATCTTGGTGAACTTCTGTGGGTATACCGATAGTGTAAATCTCTAGCAGTATATCAGAGACTGTATACATTTTGCACTTTGATAGAGATTACAAACTGCTTTCCTGGAAGACTGCAGTAATTTAACACTACTACCAACAGTGTAGGTGAATGACTGTGCCAGCTCCAGGTGTCAAAGTTTTGTATTTTGATTAATCTGATAATTAAAATGAGATCTTATTTTCACTTATCATTTGTATTTCTTTGATTATGGGTAAAACTGACCATCTAGAAATTCGAACTTTTAACTGGAAAGTAAGGAATGCCATAGGTTCATTTGGTATATAATATGACAACCATACATACATCTATAACAACCATACATATTCCCTTTTCTGTTAGAAATTTTGGAGCCTGGAAAAGATCTCTTCCCTGAAGTTGCAATTAGGGTATAATTAAAAAGATACCTAGATTTTTCAAACAGATAATGTGCATGAGGCACCAATGGGGAAAAAAAAGCAGGCTTCTACACTCGTCAAAAAGGATTCCCTATAAACTTTTCTTCCTAAGAAAAGTTACAGTAACAGAGAAAGTGTCTCTGAAGTTCTTTGTCTTTTTTGAAGACAAATGTTTTCCTTTCTATATCCAACCTGTCCCCATCCTACCTTAAAATTTACTCTATCTGCTCTGTGCTTGAAGTGAAACGTGCATAAATTTAAGTCCAAATGAGCCTATCTTTATGCTGACATTTCTTATTTTCCAGTTAAGTCATCTCCTTTTAGTTCTCTGTGCTTCTAAACTGTCTAATTTTTATGGTGTATATATTTTTTACTTGACATTGTGAGTGTTTAAGTCTGATACTGTGTCTTATATATTCTTGAACTCCTTACAGCACCCACCATATTACTTTATGCTGAGTGGCCAGTCACTGTTTCATTCTTATATTAAATAAGTTCATATTTATAAAGCATGTCTGTAACTGAGTACCTCCATTTTTTAAAGAGACAGCATGAGTTATTTTTAAATTATTTTTTTCTCTCTTTTCCCATTTCTCCTTTTCCCCTGTATCCCACTTCCTACTTAGCTCTTTAGAAATGCAATTATAACCTGCTGCCTCCCCTTCACCAGACATTCCCTACAGGGCAAGTTCACTTAACTATGTACTTAGAAGCTCCAGAGTGGAACTCTCCTACCAGGAGAGAGACAACAGTCTATTTACAACCAAAAGTACATTGGCAATGAAACCCTCTCTGACCTGGAGAGTTCTGGCCACTTTTTTTTTTTTTTTCTTTGAGATGGAGTTTTGCTCTTGTTGCCCAGGCTGGAGTGCAATGGCATGATCTCAGCTTGTCGCAACCTCTGACTCCTGGGCTCAAGCGATTCTTCTGCTTCAGCCTCCCAAGTAGCTGGGATTACAGGCATGTGCCACCACACCCGGCTAATTTTGCATTTTTATTAGAGACAGGGTTTCTCCATGTTGGTCAGGCTGGTCTCAAACTCCCGACTTCAGGTGATCTGCCTGCCTTGGCCTCCCAAAGTGCTGGGCTTATAGGTGTGAGTGAGTCACCGTGCCTGGCCTCAGCCACTTTTACAACCTAATTCTGCCCATGAAGGTGCCAGTGACTGCCAGTTCAACTGCCTGGCAGATAAACATCCTCACCTGTTTGCTTCCTCCACTGCGTGCCATTCATGCCAAGTTCCCTTTTAAAAGCACCTGCTTTCTGCTCCCAAGCTGAAGTGGTACCCTTAAAGGCGGGAGGCCTATCCTTCTTCCCCTAAGCTAGCTTTGGAATAAAAAGGCACTCTCTCTATACCAGAGCTTGCTGTTGTTATTGAACTCTGCAAGTGGCGAGGGACTAAATCTGTATTTCAGTTACATTTCGACTAGTGTTGGCACATAACAAATCCTATTTAAGTTACTAAATAAGAAACTGATCAATTTTTCTAATGAATTTTCCCCTTCAGCATGTAAATCTTATTTCTCCCATCTTAAATAAACTTGACTTCATTCCCTTCACCAGTTACTTCCCCACTTCTCTTCTCCCTACTGCAGCGTAACTCATAAAGATTATTTAAACTCACTGTCTACAAATGACTTTCTTCTCATTCTCAAACCCCTCAGCTTGCTTTTATCTCATCAGTCTACTAAAAAGTTTTTGCTGAGGTGACCAACCATCTCCAAATTACTAAATCCAAAGAGAAGTTCTTAGTCCTCTTCTTATTTGACCCATTCAGCAGCATTTGACATACTCGGTATTTCCTTTCTCCTATGAAGAATTTTCATACTGGGTTTTCCAGTACACCATCCTCTCTGCATTTTCCTCATCTCTCAGAGGCCAATCTTCTTCCTTTTCTTCTTCTAAAACTGGAGTTCTTAGAGCTCATTCCTTTTTTGTTTTATCTATGTTTATTTTCTTGTGATGACTTAACCTCTCTCATAACTTTGAATGTCATCTAATTGTGATACCTCCCTAAATTACATTTTCTGCCTAGGACTTTCTCTTTAGTCTTTTATGACTCTGAGAGTCTCTAGACTCATAAATGTCACTTCTCTATTCAACATTTCCACTTACATGGCTGATGGACACCTGAAACTGAACTCCAGCTCTTTTCCACAAAACCTGTCCTCCCAGCAGCATTTAGATCTCAGTCAATGACAAATCTATCCTTCCAGCTGTTCAGGTTAAAATCCTCATAGTTATTTCTCTCTTTCATGCCTTACATCAAACCCACCAGAAAATTCTGTTAGCACTGCCTTCAAAATACATCTAAAATCTAACCACATCTTATAATCTTCACTTGTACTTTAAACCATGATCATATATTGTTTGAGTTACTAAAATGGCCTCCCAACAGGTCTATCTTGCCCCAGTATCTGTTCTTAATACTACAACCAGAATGATTCTTTAAAAACCTAAGTCAAATCATGTCAGTCCTCTGCTTAAAATTCTTATGAATTCCTGCAATACTGTGAAATACACAGTTGACCCTTGAACAACACAGGTTTGAAATACATGGATCCACTTATATGCAGATTTTTCCTGTATTTTGGAAAATATTTTACAGATTTGCAACAATTAGGAAAAAAATGGCGAGCTGCATAACCTAGAAATACTAAAAAATTAAAAGATATTATAACTAACAGTCTATTGCTGACCAGAGCCAGCATAAAACATATAAGTGTTAATAACAGTTTGTTATTGGTAAGGCTCTGGTCAGCAATAGACTGTTAGTTATAATATCTTTTAATTAATTATTGTGAATGAATGCATAAAATATATGCAGATACTAAGTTTATCATTTAATACCATAAAATCTATACAAATCTAAAGTTAAATCTATCAAAATTCATACAAACACATGGTGCCATCTGCAGTCAAGAGAAATATAAAGAAAGATGCAGTATTAAATCATAACTGCATAAAATTAACTGTGGTATATACTGTGGTACTGTAAAAGTTTCACAGCCACCTCCAGTTGCTAGCAATGAGTGAAGTATTGCAAGTATCTGCTTAAAATGCATGCGACATTAATCACCTCTAAAGATCAGTTCCTCTCTCCAGCACACTGCATATCTCAGTAAAAAGTGATCTCTTGGGGGTTCTCTATTATTTTTCATTGTGTTTAGTATAATACTGTAAACCTTGAATAATACCATGAGATGTGTAAGAAGTGGGACTAGTGACACTGATGTGCTCCCAAGAAGCAGAGAAAATGTCAAGACATTACAGGAAAAAGCTGACAGCATGATATGCACCATAGGTTGAGGTCTGCTGTTGCGGTTGCCTGCCATTTCATACAGATAATTTGTCATGTAAACATATGTAAATACAGTACTGTAAATGTATTTTCTCTTTCTTTATAATTTTAATATTTTAACATTAAAATATTTTAATTATTTTAACTTTATTTTAAAATTAACATTTTCCTTATGATTTTCTCAACATTTTTTCTCTAGCTTACTGAAAGAATAGAGTATGTAATACATAAAACATACAAAATAAGTGTTAATAACAGTTTATGTTATTGGTAAGGCTCTGGTCAGCAATAGACTGTTAGTAAACCTTTGGGGGAGTCAAATGTCATACATGGATCTTTAACTGTGTGTGAGGATCCAGCATCCCTAATCCCCACTTTGATCAAGAGTCAACTGTATTTGGTCTTCCTCTCCTTTTCCTGGCATACAACTACTAAAATCCTTGGAATCTCCAAAGTGATGTGTCTTTCTGTATGCTAATAAGATGGCTGATGGTTGGCAGCTTCAGGATTAGCCGAAATACTAAGGCATAATTAGAGAATTGGCACGTCAGCCCCATCCCCCCCAACCTCTGAGGGTAAAGGAAGGAGAGTGAAGGTTAAATTAATCACCAATGGCAAGCAATTTAATCAATCATGCCCACATAATGAAGCTTCCATAAGACCCCAAAAGGACAGGGTTAGGGAGCTTCCAGATAGCTGAACATGTGGAGTTTCCTGGAGGGTGGAGGCTTAATGGAAGCACACATCCCTTCCCATATGCCTTGCCTATGCACCTTTTCTTTATAATAAGCCAGTATACACATTTCCTTGAATTCCGTGAGCCACTCTAGCAAATTAACTGAACCCAAGAAGAAGGTTGTAGAAACCCCAATTTACAGCCAGCTGATCAGAAGAACAAGCAAAACAACCTGGGGCTTTCAATGGGCACTAGAAGTGGGATGCAGTCTTGTGGGACTCAGTCTTCAACTAGTGTCATCTGATGCTATCTCCAGGTAGACAGAATCAGAATTGAATTGAATCAAAGGATACCCAGCTGGTGTCTGCTGAAGAATTACTTGCTGGTGGGAAGAAATCCCCACAGATGTGGTGTTAGAAGTGTGTTGTGAGAAGATAGTGGGACAAACTGAGTCTGTTTTTTCCACTCAATTTCCTTTACACTCAAATGGCCTTCAAAGGCATATCTGATCTGGCCTTCTTTGTGGCAGATTAATAGTCACATTCATCCAATCTCGTATGCCCTTCCCCTTATAATTTGGCTTTCCCACTCCTGTCAAGAGGTGGCTTCTGGCCAGGCATGGTGTCTCATGCCTATAATCTCAGCATTTTGGGAGGCCGAGGCAGGATGATCACTTGAGCTCAGGAGTTTGATGTCAAGCCTCAGCAACATGGTGAGATCCCATCTCTACAAAAATAAATAAATTAGAAGAGCATCATGGCACGTGTCTGTGGTCCTAGCTACCCAGGAGGCTGAGCTGGGAGGATGGCTTGAGCATAGGAGGTCCAGGCTGCAGTGAGCTGTGTCCGTGCTAGTGCACTCTAGCCTGGGCAACAGAGTGAGACCCTGTCTAAAAAAAAAAAAAAAGGGGGGGGTGGTGGAATGTATTTCTCCATCCAGTAAAATTGGCTTTGGTCATGGTCTTGCTTTGGCCAAGCAAAATGTTAGCAAATATGATACAAGCAGAGGCTTAAAAAGTATTTGTGTATTAGAGTTTGCCCTTTCTTGCAGCACTGAGACCTCCAGCACTCTTTCCATCTCAGTTATTGACAACCTCATCCTTATAATAGTTACTCAGGCTAAAATCCTTGTAGCTCATCTACCTGGATAAGTATTAAAAAGAAAAAATAAAATCCTTGAGAGATCCAGCCAACAGCCAGTACCTACTACCAGACACAAGAGGAAGGGAAGTCTTTTTTTTTTTTTTTTTTTTTTGAGATGGAGTCTCACTCTGTCTCCTGGGCTGGAGTGCAGTGGCTCACTGCAACCTCTGCCTCCAGGGGTCAAGCAATTATCCTGCCTCAGCTCCCACCCGCCCCCAAGTAGCTGGGATTACAGATGCCCGCCACTAAGCCCAGCTAATTTTTAAATATTTTTTAGTATAGACAGGGTTTCACCATGTTGGCCAGGCTGGTCTCGAACTCCTGACCTCATGATTCGCCCACCTAGGCCTCCCAAAGTGCTGGGATTACAGGCATGCCACCACTCCCAGTGGAGGGCATCTTAGACCATCCAGGTCCACCAGAGCCTCCCAACAACTATAACGATAGGAGGCAAGATCAGCCTAAGAACCACCTGGTGGAGCCCAGCCCAAATGGCTGACTCAAAATTGTGAGCAAATAAAATAGTTACATTAAGCTACTAATTAATTTTTGTTTTATTTTTTAAAGACAGTCTCATTCTGTCAGCCAGGCAGGAGTGCAGTAGCCTCACCATAGCTTACCGCAGTCTCAAACTCATGAGCTCAAGCGATTCTCCCACTTAACCTCCTGAATGGCTGGGACTACAGGCACACACCATCGTGCCTGGCTAATTTTTTTTTTTTTTCTAAAGACAAGATCTCACCATGTTGTTCACGCTGGTCTTGAATTCCTGGTCTCATGTGATCCTCTTGCCTCAACCTCCTGCGTCCCTGGGATTACAGGTGCAAGTCACTGTGCCTGGCTAAGCCACTAAATTTTAAGTTGGTTTGTTACACAGCAATAGATAACTGAGACATTGTATTTAATCTTTCACACTCCCAATTCCTACCATTCTTCCCTCCCTTGATTCTTGCTCTAGTCATACCAACTAACCTCTTTTAATTCCTTGTAAACACAGTGAAAACTCCTGCAGTTATTCTGGCTGTACCCTCTGCCAGGAATGCTCATTCCTTAGCTGAATGACTAACCTGCTCTCCTCTTTCAAGCCTTCCTTCAAATATCTTGTTTTAAATCAAGCTTATGCTTACTGTTCTACTAAAAATGGGAGTCTACCCTCAATGCCCAGCACTCTCAACCCCCTTCTCTCCTCTCTCTCTCTCTTCCACTCTTTCACTTTGTCACCCAGGCTGGAGTGCAATGGCAATTTAGCTCACTGCAACCTCTACCCCGACCCTCCAAGGGTTCAAACGATCCTCCCACTTCAGCCTTCAGTAGCTGGGACCACAGGCATGAGACTGCACACGCTCTATGAACAGTTCATTCCAAATTACAGAACGAACGTTTTGAAGGATTTGAGAAAACTCTAGGGAATAAATGGAGAGGTTCCAAAAAGTAGGACACTATAGAACCCACTCTAGATTTGTTGAACTCATACCTATATTGTAATTTGTACACTACCATGCTCAATGATTGTTTTTGTGTTTTTGGTAGAGATGGGGGTCTCACCATGTTGCCCAAGCTGATCTCAAACTCCTGAGCTCAAGAGATCTGTCTGCCTCAGCCTCCAAAAGAGCTGGGATTACAGGCATGAGCCACCAAGCCTGGCTGCATTACTGTTTTCACAGTCTCATATTTCTCTAATATACTCTATAATTTATTTGTTAGGTTTTCATTTTTTGTCAAATTTCCCAACAAAAATGCTGCATGAGTGCAAAGTATTTGTCTATTTTGTTCAATGATCGATCTGAAGCCCATCTCAAACCCTAAACTCTGGTACACAGCAGATTCTCAACAACTATTTGTTGAATGAACAAACAATTGGTTTACAACAAGATCTGTTTAGACAGGGTATACTAGAGTTGATGTTTAATAATTTCTCATATAAATCAAAATAATCTATGACAAATGTTTTTAAGCTTTAAACGGTTCTTGACTGTTTTTCATCCACCATTCAAATCACTACTCTAGCTATTTCTTTTGAGTGGTACTCAATTTAAAAATTCTACAATAACAAAAGAATGTGGGCAGACCATTCATTGTCCTTATGGAATTTGATCTTTATGTGGCACTAAGAGACCTATGGAATAATGAGATTTAGGTCAAGTGGCAGTTTGAAGGTTTAGATGTGAGGGGAGTTTTATCAAACCAATGTAGATAACATTTGTTTAAAAGGTATAGCATCCATAAGTAATTACATATATATATTCTAAATTGCCACTGTAAATTCTGAGCATTTGTAGAGAAAACTCAGACACTATCAAAATTCTCAAAGAGTTATCTAGAATGTCTGCATTACCTACCTGACTTTAACATAAACGCAAAGATGTGTGGCATTGCAGGGTTACTGAAAAGGGGGAATTATTCATCTTTATAAAATATTCCCAGATGTTTACCAATTCTAATCTTGCAAGTTACAATATAGATATGAGTTCAACAAATATAGAGTAGGTTCTATAGTGTCCCTTTCTAAACTTCTCCATTTATTTCCTAGAGTCAGCTACATTTTCTCTTCTCAAATCCTGCCTTCAAAACATTAATTCTGTAATCTGGAATGAACTCTTCACAAAATGTGTGCAATCTCATGCAAGAAGATCATATATGAGCCCCTATCTATAGCAGCTTCATGTATCCAGATTGTTATATAAAGTTTTAGATACTAGGAGAAAGTACCTCATTTTTAAACATTTTAATCATTGTTTCAATGAGAATATTTTAGTTTACCAGGAATTAATAGTTTGGGTAAGAGACAGAGAGACAAACATAGGGAAGCAAATAAATAGTTTAATCCAGGGGTCCCCAACCTGGGGCTGCAGACCAGTACAGGTCAGTTGCCTGTTAGGAACCAGGCCACACAGTAGGAGGTTAGCAGCGAACAACTGAGTATTACCACCTGAGCTCCACCTCCTGTCAGATTAGTGGTGGCATTAGATTCTCACAGGAGCACAAATGCTGTGAACTGTGCTTGCAAGGAATCTAGGTTGCATGCTCCTTATGAGACTCTAATGCCTGATGATCTGAGGTGAAACACTTTCATCCCAAAACCATCCCACTCCAACCTCCCCCACAGACACCCTGACCCCATTTGTGGAAAAACTGTCTTCCACAAAACTGGTCCCTGGTGCCAAAAAGGTTGAGGACTGCTGGTTTAATCTACAATCACTCACGCAGGTACTAACTATATATATATTTTATTATCATACTCTACTTTTGTAAGTTAAGGCAATCACCAAATAAAATCAATGAAAAATGTTTAAGTTGTTTTATGCTCCCCCACCTGACTATCAATAATGAAGAAAATGGAGTTAACTTCTCTTTTACTGTTATTCTCCACCCACTATTCCTTTAGAACTCTCCTATGAATCCTTTCCTTCTGATCACCCCATTCGCCCTAGGCTACCATTCTTAATAAAATAGATAAGTAAACTAACCTTTTATAACCTCAGAACAAACAAGATACAGAAAAAGAGGGTACAGACCAGAGGCACAAATCTGTTTAAAAAGTTGGCATTTAAATTATCAACCATAAGGCATAAGAGGGTAATTCAATATCAAACTTCAGAGTGAAAAATCTGTTTGGATCTTAAACCCAACTGCTCAACAGTAAACAATATGAATGTACATTAACTTCAGAATCAGGCAAAACTATAAAGAATCTGCTTTGCTTTAGTATTTATCTCTTAGAAAGTATGTATCATTTATAAGACCAACTGAAAGAAATGGTAAAATCATACTATAAGCTGTTTACACTCAAGACTATGGATGAAATGTGAAAATAGTGATTGTGTTGAATAAAGTTAGATCATCTTCCAATCCAGTTTTATCTCAGAGATCTTGTCTGTTGATCTGGAGATACAAGTTTAACACTGAAATATGTGTAGATTGCTTTACAATTCAGAAAATTTACAAGTCCTTGGGAAAAATACTTTGAAAATAAGGAGCTGAGCACTAAGGAATCTTTCTTTCTTTCTTTTTTTCTGGCCACCCAGATAAAAGAAAAAAAAATTTTTTTTAATGTGAGAAATATTCCAGGTGGCTCTAAACCAAATTCCTATTTGTTATGCATGCCTGGCATCTTCGAAATTAAGCTTTTCCCAAGCAACCCAAGGCAAATGAAACTCTTGCTCATTGAGGGAAACACTGATTTTCTAGTAACTACTGCGCTTGAGAAAGTGAGGATGACATTTACTCTGCACTGAAGCAGCCCATTACACACAAGAGACAGGACACTCCAGGATGATCTGAGCATGCCCATAAAGCTACAAAGCACCCTCTGCATTCTGTCCAAATAGCTTTGGGTAAAATGAACAACTAGGAAAACACATATCATGCTTCTCCATTATTATGACCTTATACAAGTCAGTCCTAAAATAGCAAATGCCCCTGGCTGAGATCTATTGCTGAAAAATGCTAAGTTTCAGCAGCCCAGGCTGTTTCCTGTGTGGGTCTATTCAACCAGCCCCCACTTAAAGCTGTAGGACTAACTATAGGATTCAGGAAGAGATTTTTTTTTTTTAAAAAAAAAAGACAGATACACACACATATACAACATACGGTTTCCGAGGAGAGTGAGGGTTCCATGCTTGTGATAGAGGAGGAGGAATATGCTGAATAACCCTCAGGTTTCTCCCAGATTTGAACATGCTGTACTGTGGCATGAGGTCAGCGGTGACTGACTCCAGCCCTGTGAGGCTGAATTCTACCCTGACAAAGCAGTATCACTGTAATATGAAGCAAGAGGATTCAGGGCATGTTGGCAGCTGTACAGAATGCCTATTCTAGAAAGTAATGGCAATTCCAAAACAAGAGATCTATGCTGTCACATGAGATAATCTTCAGCCCAGTTAAGCAATAAGCACCCAAATTACTTTGAATCCCAAACACAGGCAGCTCAAAATTTTAATGTTAGAAAAGAACTTTTCTCCTTGAACCTATTTTGTGTCTGGAGAAAGTAAACAGGAAGTAGAAAACTTGAAGAATCATTGGTTAATTTGATCTGTATCATAAACAAGATACTGATTCTGATCTGCTCTGTTCCGCTCTGTTCCTGGACACTGACCTAGTTGAAGAACTCCAAACCATCTCTGTGACTTTACTATGGAACAGGGAAAATATTCTGGAAATATATTTTTGGTAATGGAAATATGCCAGAACAGAAGGTGTGAATAACCTCATTTCTCACATGTACCCAAAAGGCAAAGCTAATATACAACATAATTTCTTTTTAGTTCAAGAATGTGTGCCTTTAGAAATTCTTCCTCCAAAGATGAGGGGCACTAAAAAAGGAGCCAGAACATGAATTTTCTACCAAGAGAAAACAGGGCAATGCAGATATTCCTTTACATTTTATGGTGTCTCTTATACTATGACAATTCTATTCTAGACCAAAAGTGACCCAATAGCTTTATAATAAGTAAAATTTAGCCAGGAAACACAAGGCAATGGAGATAAAGCAAAACAGTACCAATAGGAACGTAAATCTATAAGAAGTTCTTCAACAGTTCAGTGGGATAAGGAGGGATAAGGAATAAAGAAATAAAAACATTTTTCTTCAAGGTACACTAATTTTGTTTTTATAAATATTAGCTTACTAATATTTATAAATTTTAAAAGTAGATACATATAACCTATTTACAGATTTCCAAATTTCTGATAAAGTTTTTGGGGATCTACATTTATACCCAAACACCTAAAGATAATCGTACAATTTCTTTTTCTTTTTCTTTTTGAGACAGGGTCTTGCTCAGCCGTCCAGAATGGAGTGCAATGGAGCAATCTCAGATCACCATGACAACCTTCGTCTCCTGGGGTCAGGGGATTCTCCTGCCTCAACCACCCAAGTAGCGTGGATTACAGGTATGTACCACCAAGCCTGATAATTTGTATTTTTAGTAGAGATGGGGTTTCGCCATGCTGGCCAGGCTGGTCTCAAACTCCTGACCAGTGATCCGCCCACCTCAACCTAATTGTACAATTTCTAAAACATCTTTTTCATTCTTCAAGAATCTTACTTCAATAAAAACCTAACACAGCATCTTATTTTTTTAAGTATCATCAAATAGAAAAAAGTCATTACTGAATAGTTTCAAAGCAGGTAATTTTGAAAGACTGGATAAGCAAGTTTCCTTTATTAATAAACTTTTTTAAGGTCATTTTATAAGAACCTCTGAAAGAGTAATCTACTTTGAACATTAATTTTTTGTTATACTTACACTATCAAAGGAAATTTTGATTCCTTAGTTTTAGGATACACAAGAAACAGTGCCCAGAATGGTGGTTATTACCAATTGAAAAGAAACAACTGTACTAAATTTTTTAGTTCTGAGCTTCTTTCTTAGCAACGTCTCAACACAAGGCCAGGAGAAAACTCTGGGAAAGCAGTTAACAGTTCTTTGGTGTATGGGTTTTAGTCTACTGTCAAAGGTAGGAGATACAACTAATGTTTCAATTTCATTCTATGAACCAGGATAGAAATAGAAGGGGGCAGCTGATAAATTATATAAATATGTACAGGTACAGATGGTACCTGTATCTATCTGTATGTACAGGTACAGACTTTAGTCCAAAAGGAAATAGGTATTAATATGGGACAAAAAGAGTCAGTCATACCTTATCTGTAGAGGAGAGGTAGGACTAACAACGGAGTGAAACTTTTGCAGCTCTAAATTATTCTCCTCAAAGTCTGAGACAAAACTTTTTAAGTAGAAGGGCTTTGTATTAATTAATTCAGTAATTCTTACCATGTGCCAGGCACACTATATGGGACATGTAGGGATACAAAAATGTAAGATGAACAGGTTCTTGTCTCTACTGACTTTTGAGATCATCTGTGTTCTCTAGGCTACTATTTCTCAACATTTAAAAAAACAAAACAAAAACTTACATCCTCTACAATACTGTCTCACTCTATAGTCTAGCTATGCATTCCTACCACTCTGGAATATTTTATTGTGCTTTACTGTCTATAGTTTATATTTTTAAAACAAGAATTATACTGACTCTACTTCTTAAAAAGTATACCTCTCCATCAGAGATTCTGGATATCTCAAGTCTCCTAGGGATGTAAAGAACCACTGTTCAGGCCAAGCATGATTGCACACACCTGTAATCCCAGCACTTTAGGAGGCTGAGGGGGGCAGATCACCTGTGGTCAGGAGTTTGAGACCAGCCTGGCCAACATTTCAAAACCCTGTCTCTACTAAAAATACAAAAATTAGCCAGGCAAGGTGGTGGGCACCTGTAATCTTAGCTACTAGGGAGTCTGAGGCAGGAGAATCGCCTGAACCCAGGAGGTGTAGGTTACAGTGGGCTGAGATGGTCTCACTGCACTTCAGCCTGAGTGACACAGTGAGACTCCGTCTCAAAAAAAAAAAAAAAAAAAAACAGAAGAACCACTGTTCAAACCAACCATCTTATTTTGTAGTCCAAAACCCTAGTCTTTGAAAGGAGAAGTGAATGATGCAGTGGCCCTATCAGATCTAGAATCTATGTGTGCTGATTCTCCATTTCTGTTCTTTCTACTAAATCACGGTGTACTCTTCCTATGCTCTTGTTCCTACCTCATGCACTCATGTCATACCAATCTGGTTTTTATGTCACCATTGTGTATAAACAATGGAACAAACAAATGAACAAAAAACAAAAGCACCTCAATTTCTGCAATGTACTTACTTCGAAGAGACATTTCTGGTTTAGAATTCCTGCCTTACAGCTTCACTACATAAATCCTCTGTGGTGGCTTTTTTTTGGACAAATTACTTCCTTGGAATGCTGCTTGACTGCATGATCAATAAAGGTTCCTTTCTAGCCCCAGAATTAATTTTGAGATTGTCTACAGTGCTATGTGAGCTCTTTTGGAACCTTTTCCCTGTACTGAGGATCAATAAATGGTAGAAAGAATTCTGGCAGAAACTGACTTAGGTACACAAAGAATGAAGTTGGTGGGTTTCAATTTTATAAATATGAACTTCAAATCTTTATAAACATGTAAGTCTATAATCATCAAAGTTTACAGAAAAATAATACATTTTCAACACGTTTAAAATAATCACATTTTACATCTTTATAAGTAACAGGCAATCTTCTTCAATTATTCCTCCTTAGATAATAGAGTTTCTTAATGTTTCTTCCTGAAGGAATATAGATAGTCCTGAAGGTCTGAAGGAAAGCTGAGAAAGCTGTTACAATAAAAATAAAACAAAAGCCTCACTATCTGCAATCCACAGTAATTTGGAGGTCCCTAATGAGCCAACCCTCCTGGTACTGATGCCCCATGCAGTCCTCTTCCCATACTAACTTTGGGCTTGGTGACTAGCTATAGCAAATGGCATACTATCAAGAACTGTGCAAACAGACAAGTCTTGAAGTGCTTGAAAATTAGAGATTATTCTTTTTGAACACTCCTTGGAACTCTGCTGCCATGCTGCAAAAAAGCCCAACTAGTGTAATCAAGGTCCCTGGCCAAAAGCCATGGCTGAACTCAGAGTCAGCAGCTAACATAAACATCTAGCATGTGACTGAGGCTGTTTGGACTTTCTGATCATCCCAATACCTCAGCCAATTTATTAATAAACTTTGCTTTGACCTGAAGCAGAAGGGCTCTGTATTAATTTACTCAATAATTCTTACTATGTGCCAGGCACACTATATGGGACATTTAGGGATACAAAAAAGAGTAAGATGAACATGTTTAACCTAAAGCAAAGTTTATTAATATAGGGAACTTGATACAAACCAGGACAAGTGCCTGGTCAATCCACAGAATCAAGACAAAGAAACTCACTTTAAGCTACAAAGTTTTTAAAAAATTTCTTAATGCCACAGAATTAACTTTTTAGGTATGTGTACAGCTCTATGAATTTTAAAACATGCACAGCCTCATGAGACCACCAGCAGTATAATCAGGATAAGAGAAGTTCCAAAAGACTTCCTTATGTAGTCACACCTAACCCCACTATTAACCCATAACCCATTCTTTTTCACTATAGTTCTATCTTTCTGAGACTGTCACATAAACAGAATCATACAATATATAACTTTCTGACACTGATCTATCAGCATGATGCCTTTGAAATGCATATAGGATGATGCATGTATCATAGTTCATTCCTTTTATTGCTAAGTAGTAGTGCACTGTATGTACATACCACAGTTTATCCATTCACTTGAGGGACGTTTGGATGATTTCCATTTTTTAGCAATTGTGAATAGAGGTGCTATAAACATTAGTGTAGAGGTTTCATAGAAATGTAAGTTTTCATGTTTGTAGGCTACATACCTAGGTGTGGATTTGCTGGGTCACATGGTCAGTATATATTTAACTTAAAAAAAAAATCACCAAACTTTTCCAGAGTAGTTTTGCCATTTTCCTTTCCTACCAGCAATGTATGAGAGTTCCAATTGTTCTCTGCATCCTTGCCAGCATTTGGAACTGTATTTTGTTTTTATTTTAGTCATTTTAAAAGTGGTACCTCATCAAGATTTTAAATGCATTTTCTTAATGGCTACTAATGCTAAATATCTCTTTATGTATTTAGTTGTCATTATATCTCCTCTTTTGTAAAGAATCTGCTTAAGACATTTGACCATTTATTAAATAGGGTTAAAAAAAAAAACTATTGAGCTTTGACAATTTTTTATATACAGATGTCCCATGACTTATGTCTCAATAAACCAACTGTGAGATGAAAATATTGGCTGTGCACAGTAGCTCACATGTATAATCCCAGCACGTTGGGAGGTCAAGATGGGAGGTCACTTGAGGCCAGGAGGTTGAGACCGGCCTAGGCAACACAGCAAGAACTTCCTCTTAAAAAATAATAAAATGAAAATATTGCATGTTGAAAATGCATTTAATGTACCTAACTTAGAACACCATGGCTTAGCCTAACCTACCTTAAATGTGCTCAGAACCCTTACATTAGCCCATAGTTGGCAAAATCATCTAACTCGAAGCCTGTTTTGTAACAAGGGATGAGGCTGGGCACAGTGGCTCATGCCTGTAATCCCAGCAGTTTAAGAGGCTGAGATGCGAGGAATATCTGAGCCCAGGAGTTTAAGACCAGCCTGGGTAACAAGTGAGACCCTGTCTCTACTTTTTTAAAAAAATTAAAATAAAAAATAGAAAAATAATTTATTGACTATGGTACTGATAGTGAGAAACAGAATAGTGGTATAGGTACTCGAAATATGGTTTCTATTAGACATGTATTGCTTTAGCACCACTGTAAAGTCAAAAAACTGTTAAGTTGAACCATTTTAAGTCAGGAACCATCTGTATTCTGAATATAAGTCCTTTGTCAGATATGTGATTTACAAGTTTTCCTCCCAACATGCAGCATGCCCTTTAATTCTCGCAATAGCATCTTTCATAGATAAAACTGTCCTGTGTTGTTCTAAAAGTTTCATAGTTTGTCTTATATATTATTTTGTGATTTTGTGTTAATTTTTAGATAAGGTGTGAGAGATTCATGTTTTTGCATACAGATTTCTACTTTTTCCAACACCTCTTTTTGAAAACACTATCCTTTCTCCATTGAATTGCCTTTGTACTTTTGTGAAATATGAATTGGCAATATTTATGTGGGTCTATTTCTGAACTTTCTATTCTATTCCATTAATCCACATGCCTATGCTTTTGCTAATATGGCTTCATCTTGATTAATGTAGCTTTATGGTAAGTCTGAAAGCTGGGTGGAATAATTTACTTAATTTTATTTTTCTTTTCCAGTATTGGTTGACTCTTGTAGTTCTTTTGCCTTTCCATATACATTTAAGAATAAGCATGCCAATTGCTACAAAAAAGTTCTGCTGCTGGGCGCGGTGGCTCACGCCTGTAATCCCAGCACTTTGGGAGGCCGAGGCGGGTGGATCACGAGGTCAAGAGATCGAGACCATCCTGGTCAACATGGTGAAACCCCGTCTCTACTAAAACTACAAAAAATTAGCTGGGCATGGTGGCGCGTGCCTGTAATCCCAGCTACTCAGTAGGCTGAGGCAGAAGAATTGCCTGAACCCAGGAGGCGGAGGTTGCGGTGAGCCGAGATCGCACCATTGCACTCCAGCCTGGGTAACAAGAGTGAAACTCTGTCTCAAAAAAAAAAAAAGTCCTGCTGAGATTTCTGATTGGAATTTTGTTAAAAGGGTAATAGGGAACTCCTACATAGACTGTGCGTACATAAATATATAAACAACTTAGATGAAGTGGACCAAATTCTCAAATAACAAACTACCAGAATCACCTAAGATGAAATACATAATCTGAATGGTTATACAACTGTTTTTAAAATGAAATTTATAATTAAACATATTCTGAAAAAGAAATCTCCCTGTGGTTTCCGTGGTACATTCTACCAAACATTCTTTAGAAATAAACCAATTCTATACAATCTGTTCCAGAAAGCAGAAAGAGAGGAACTCATTTTATAAAGCCAGCATTATCCAGATACGAAACCTGGAGAAGACCTGTAAAAGAAAACAAGACAGCAGACCAATAGCCTCATACTAGCAAATCAAACCTAGCAATGCACATGAAGAATAATATACCATATCCAAGCAGGACGTTCAATATTTGAAAACCAAGCAAGGTAAGCAACAATAGCCCAGAGAAGCAAAACCATATGATATCAATTTACACAGAAAAAGCATTTGAGAAAAGTTAACAGCCACTCATTATTCAACTCTTAGCAAATTAGGCTGGACATGGTGGCTCATGCCTATAATCCCAGCACTTTGGGAGGCCAAGGTGGGCAGATCATATGAGGCCCAGGAGTTTGAGACCAGCCTGGTCAACACAGTGAAACCGTGTCTCTACTAAAAATACAAAAATTAGCCGGACATGGTGGTGCATGCCTGTAATCCCAGCTACTTGGGGGACTGTGGCACAAGAATTACTTGAGCCCAGGAGGCAGAGGTTGCAGTGAGCCGAGACTGCACTACTACACTCAAGTCTGGGTGACAGAGTGAGACTGTCT